GGATCTCACCAGGGTCTCAGTTTGTCTACCCATCACCTCTGCCTTCTGTACCCCCTGTGTCTCTGGGCCCTGCTGGCTCTGTCTTAGCTGCTTCTGTCCCCACTTCTTACTGATGCCCTCCAGCTCCTGCACTATGTGTTTCTGCCCAGCTCTCTCTCTGCCTTCGCCTCTTTATGCCTCTGGCTTCCTGTGTGTGTTGCCCTCCATCCCCCTCTCCACCCGACCTAACTTGCTCTTTTTTCTCTCAACAGGGAGACTCTGGTGGCCCCCTGGTCTGCTGTGGGGTCCTGATGGGTCTTGTGTCTTGGGGACACCGTCCCTGTGCTCAACGTGGAGTTCCAGGCGTCTACACCAAGCTCTGTAGATTCAAACGGTGGATATGGACAACGATGAGGACCAAAATCCACCAACTTCCAGACCTATCCTCAGGCTCCATGTCTTATAAACAGCTATTGAACTTCACTGAATCTTCTTTACCAATATATTGAGATGAAATGTCTCTCCTTTCTTGTTTGATTTTATTAAGACTTAAAGTGGAGTTTTCAAGTGTCAAAAGGTGTTACTGGTTTTAAGATGTTCTGACATCCTTGTGTTCCTGGGACATCTGCTACATGGTAGGGATACCAATGTTCTTGCCCCTCATTACCATGACAAACAGCTGCCCAGGGACAAGTCCTGTGGCTGAAGTTGTGGAGTGGAGAATGGCTGCAGTGATGCTTCAGGCACCGGAGCAGATGGATCATATGCTTCTCACTCCCGAGCTCACTGAACAAGTGAGAATCTAGGGTTGAACCACTCACAGGCAGTCACAGTGGTTGAGGAAGCTGAAGGTAGCACAGGTGTAGATATGACCTGCAGATGTAAGCTGTGTCAGATCAGAAGAATGAAGGTGTGAGGAAAAGGAGGAGAGACGGGACAAGTTGTGCTAGAGGGAGCAGAACTGATGGCAAAGTAGAACTAAAAACTTTAAAGAATACAAGCTGTCCTCACAGAGATGTGTTAGGCAAGTACAAACAGAGCAGGGACATGCAGTATGCCAAAGGAACCATTTGGGGTTAGTGAATATAAAAATATTTCCCAAAGTGTTATTTTTTAAAAAGAATACAACGACTTGAAAACAGAAAAGCTACGGCTAAAACACGAACTACTGATGTGATGAGAAAGAAGAGATGGTGGAGAATAGGGAGGAGATGGAGAAGCAAATGAGGGCCAGGAGAGAGAAAGAGAAAGAAGGTGAAAATTTACAAGCGCACACACACACACACACACACACACACACACACACACACACACACACACACACACACACAGGACCCAATTCAGCAAAACTAATGTAATTATTTCTATTGTAAACATATACCAGTAAAAAATTAGTGAGCTGAAAACATGGATGAAAAAGAAATAGAAGTCAAACATTTAGAACTATGCAAAATAAAAAGTATGCAATCTCCTGGCACAAATGAATGCACATTGGGATGGCACACACTCACAGTCACCCAGGCATCCGTGCATACACGTGCACACTCACACCTCAACTTCTGCGATGTCAAACAGCAGAATCCACGTGCTTGGCTGTGGGAAATGGAGCTGGGCCATCATGGTGGCCGTGCGCTGAGTAAGGAAAGATAATACATTTGGAGATTCTGATGCAAGCAACGCCAATACATCCCTTTCTCCTCTCTTTGCACCCTGGGTCACTGCAGAGCAGGATGAGCTGTGAGACACGTGCTCATTCCTGGGCCTGTGGGGACAGAAATTGTGAGACAATAAGTTTGGCGGCAGGTTGGAGGGAGAGGCAGAAGGAACATTTCAGCCACGTTTGAAAAGTGAGGCTGAAAGATACAGTAGGGGAACCCAGCTAGTGAGGGAGGCAGAGGGAGAGACAGACAGACACAGGCACCAGCAGACACGTAGAAGCCCTGCACAGGGTATGGCTGAGTTCAGCAAAGAGGAACAGGGAAGGGAAGCAACCCAGGCAGGGAGAGTGAGGAGTGAGGCAGAGCTCAGGGAGGGAGGGTGAGACCTCAGGCCGGGGTGGGACACACGGGACAAGGGAGTAGCAGACCGTGCTTCCGGTTGGCTTGGGCATCCTCAGGCACATGTCCAGCCTGGCTTTCCCACACTGGGAACTGGGACACAATGGCACGGTGCTATAGTGCAGCAGGCTTCCATCCAGACTCCCTCAGGTAGCCATGCCGGGCTTATAAATGTGCCTAGTTCTGGGGCAGTCAGAGAAGGCAGATGCCCCTGCCTCTCCCCTTTCTCCCCTGATGGCCACACAAGGGCGTGGCCAACAGCTATCCTGACACACCCCCTTGTTTCCCATTGCTTTCCTTTGGTCCCCTTTGGGTGGAGCAAGACCACTTGCCTCCATATCCTGCTGTCAACTCTAAGGTTACTTCATAGTTGCTCTCTGGGCCAGCCTGACACAAGATGCCACTTGGTTGTCACCCACAGTGCCACTCTTTCATTCCCACCTCCCCAGATGCTGCTGCCACCTCTGAAGAACTGGCCAGGAAACTGCCTCTAGTGTGGAAGGGATCAGGAAGGGTTCAGACCCATTATCCCCAGTCTTCAATAAGTTGAGGACACAGCTAGCCCTCCTGCATGTTGAACAGTATTGGCCTGGCCATACTTGTGGAGACATGGCAGCTGTGAACTCAGCTGCAGCATCTGCCCTGATATACCCTGGAACTGCCATCATGGCAGCTGCAATGACTGTGTATGCCCTGCACCAGTGCAGCAGGTATCTACTCTGACCATATTAGGCTTGATATTAAACTTAGCAGTAAAACTGAATTGGGACCAGTCAGTGTTCTCAGATCAGGGACTTGAATGTGGACCGGTTTGGACCAATCAACAAGGGCAAATTTCGGCCAATCACCCACCTCAATTTGGACAAATTGGCAGGCTTGAATTCACAGCAATCAGCTGGATCTAATCCGGACCAATTATATGAGGTATGATTTTAAAATATGGATATCTAAATTTTTAAAGTTATTATTTAAATTGTTTGTTCTACTTTTCCATCAGTTCTGCTCCCTCTAGCACAACCTGTCCTGTCTCTCCTCCTTTTCCTCGTGCCTCCATTCCTCGGATCTGACACAGCTTATGCCTGCAGGTCATGTCTATGCCTGTGCTACCTTCATCTTCCTCAACCACTGTGACTGCCTGTGAGCGGTTCAATGCTAGATTCTCACTTGTTTAGCTGAGGAGTGAGAAGCATATGATCCATCTGCCCTGGTCCCTGAAGCATCATTGCAGCCATTCTGAACACAGCTTCAGCCACAGCACTTGTTCCTAGGCAGCTGTTTGTCATGGTAATGAGGGGCAAGTACATTGGTATCCCTACCATGTAGCAGATGTCCCAGGAACACAAGGATGTCAGAATATCTTAAAACCAGTAACACCTTTTGACACTTGAAAGTTCAACTTTCAACCTTAATAAAGCTAAACAAGAAAGCCACCTATCATCTCAATAAATTGGTAAAGAAGATTCAGTAAAGTTCAATAGCTGCTTATGATACATGAACTCTGCCTAAATCTGATAAAAGTTGCCTATGAAAACCATACAAGAAGCTTCCTACCTAATAAACAAGTTTAAAAAGTCATGTATTTACATTCATGAACACAACAAAGATGCCCACCACTTCTTCATGATAGTAGAAACCCTAGACAAAGCTCTAGACAAGATGAAAATAAAGGTTAGTTAATATATGAGGTGTCATTTAAAAATATGATGAATGTCTTAATTTTTAAAGTGTATGAGAGTAAAAGAAACTTTGTCAATAATTCCCCTCAAAATAGTCTCCCTTTGCTTCAAACCCATTTATCCTATTGTTTTGGGGACTTTCTGAAACAGTTCTGGAAGCCTTCCTTCATGAATGCCTTCTTTAGTTGCAATGTCATGGCCACCTCCACATCTTGAATCAATTCAAACATTTACATTTCATCATTATTTTAACTTTATGGATGAGCGAGAAGTCGCTCAGTCCTAGAACGGGTAAATAGGGTGGACAAGAACACACTGGACTGTTCTTATGAGCCTGCCTTGCCCTTGAAAGGCACTCAGCAGGATCATCCACCACCTTTTTCATTATATCTCATGAAGACACTAAAAAGGACTTCCAAAACTGCTTCAGAAAGTGTCAAGAGCAATGGCATAAGGGCATTCAAAGGGAGGAGGTTTAGTAGCAATGTGTGTTCTACTGCAATAAATTTTAAAAAGTTAAACATCCACCACAAATGGGATTACCCCTTGTAGTTCTGAAGGAAAGCAAGGTAGGCAGAACTATCTCATTAGATACTGACATATTATAAATATATCCTAATGGCCATAAAACCAGTAAATAAACCAATGGATAAGCAGAGCCCAGAAACAATTTACACAGGTGGGAATTTGCTATGTGACGGCAGGCATATCTCCAATCAGAAAATGAACATCAGAAAGCAAGTTTGCTGAAGTTGAACAGATTTTGGTCTCCAACTTCAGCCTCAGCATTTTAGGGAAAAAGCCCTGGGAGAACCTGAGTCATTTCCAAATTTGGGGTCAGGACACAGTGAGGGTGCCTGACTCTGCTCTGCAATATATCTAAAGCAAGGAAGTGGACTTTAAGTTAGAAGCTGACTCAAAGAAGAGCCAAGAGGCCAGGGAGATAGCTCAGTGGGCTAGCACCTGCCTGGCAAGTGCAAGGTCTGGAGTTAATTGCTGGTACCAAAAAAAACAAAAGAGAGAGAGAGAACCAAGAGATGCCTATGTGGGGATGGGCCTTACTCCAGGGTTTAGCTGGCTGAGACCCTGGGAGCCCACATGGGGTCCTGCTATTTTTTTTCCTTGTAGGATCTAGATTGAACACATGTGATAGGAAAGCACTGAGCTGTACCCCCAGCCCCTGCCTGGGTTTGAACCTCTGTCACTTACAACACTAGGACCTTGAGAAAGAGACCTCTATTCTGCTGTCAGCTTCCTCAACTCTGAAATTGTTCCAAGAGCACAGTCAAGATTAGAAGGAAGCAGTTTGGAAATGAGAAGTCGGTGGTTGCACAAAAGCCATTGCTCTTCCTGAAAGAGTCAGTGACGGGATTCCTATGGCTTAATCTCTTGTACAGAATTTGACCAAGAAATACATTCACAGAGCACTTATCTACTATAAAGCACACAAAACTGAGAATGATACTCTAAATTAGTGGGTATGTTCATATGACTAATTTCACTTCCCCATTCTAAATGTAACTTCAGCTTGCCCAGCACCTCTGCCCTTCCAAGGATCTGCTGGAAGGCCTCAGAGTAGACTGACAGCCAAGCACACGGACCACTGAATCCATAACTCTTTTTATAACAGCCTTTATTCTTGGGCTGCCTGAAAACCAGTCTCTTCTGGTATTGTCTTGCTGAGGCAGCAGCTTCCAGAAATCATTGGCCCTCAGTTCGGAAAAAAAGGCTTGTTGGTGGCTCTGAACTGCTATTGGGGCCTGGACCCCTGGGCGGAAGGGAAGAGGGACTGGAGGCTAGAGACTAATGCTAGATTTGGGGATGGTGCTGGATTCTTGGTCCCAAAGTCATTCGTTGCTATCTGGTCTTGATAATTTTCTCTATCCACCGTTTGAACTTGCAGACATTGGTATAGATGCCTGGAATTCCAGGTTGGCCACAGGGAGGGTGTCCCCAGGACACAAGGCCCTGCAGGACCCCACGGCAGACCAGGGGGCCTCCAGAGTCTCCCTGTTGAGAGAAAAAAGAGCAAGTTAGGGCGGGTGGAGAGGAGGAGGGAGGGAGACACACACAGGAAGCCAGAAGCGCAAAGAGGCAAAGGCAGAGCAAGAGATCAGGCAAGAAATACACAGTGCAGGAGCTAGAGGGCAGCAGGGAGAGCTGGAGACAGATGCAGCTAGTACAGACCCAGCGGGCCCCACAGACAAATGGGGTGCAGGAGACAGAGGTGATAGGAAGACAAACTGAGTCCCTGCTGAGGCCCCAGGACAGTAAAGACACAGAGACCCAAGGGCTGGGTTGTAGGAATCCACCTTTAAAAAACCAAGCACTCAAACCATAGCTTGTAGGCAGGCAGGGACAGTCCTGCCTCTCAAACACCAGCTCTCCCTCCCACCCCTTGGAAAACTCCCCTGAGGAGCTCCACTCCCATGTGCATCTCCTTTTCCAGCCTTGGCTGAGGGTGAGACTGGGTGGAAACTTGGGTGCTCGAGAGCCCTTGGAATTGAGGATGGAGGTGTGGTAGGCAGTGGGGCTGGGGATCCTGAATGCAGTCAACCAGTCTGTTCTTACAGCTGTGTTCCTGCTCCCTGGACCGCCCCCACCCCCTGGTGTCATTCTCGGATGTCTCTCCATCCCTCCTCTCAACATCATAACTCTGCGTCTCTCTGCCGGCTCCTTACTTCTCCCTGGCTCTCCCTACCTGTCTCTGTGGCTGTTTTACCCTGTGTCTTCTTGTTTCCTTTTCCCCTCCCAGGTCCTTCTCTCTGTTTCTCTTTGCATCTGCGTCTCCCCGTGATCCTCTGAGTCTCTGTCATTCATACCATGACCTTGTGCCTTCCGTGGGTTTTACACCCCATCTCCACCCTAAACCCCTGCCTCCCTGTCCCAGTCTCTTACGCGGCAAGAGTCCTTGTGGCCCTCACCACCAGCACAGAACATAGTACGATCATAGGATTCCTGGTAAGCTTCTCTGCAGGACTGCTCCGATACCACTGGAATAAGCACACACTGCAGAACGTCAGGGTGTTGGTCTGTGACAAAGGACACAGGGTCAGAAACACACCTGGGCAGAGACAGCCATAGGTATCTGTGAGTCCAGAAGCAGGAACAGCAAAGCTCACCATTCAATAGCCGACCCCAGCCAGAGATCCAGCACCTGGTTCCTGGTCTCGGACATTGGGAGGCGATGGGGATGGTCCGGATGGTGTCTGATTGCTCAACTGGTTTGCTCAATTTGATGAGCATGATGTCACTACCATTCCAAGGTCTGTTATATTTTGGGTGTTGCACGGAGAAATTAGCCTCAATCATCACACTGCCTGGTTCATTTCTTGGGTTACGTCTGTGCAGGCCCAGCCCAATGGTGTAGGAACTGAGGGTGATGGGACAGTCAGTACCATAGTAAGTACATCCTCTCTAGAAGCCCAAACTCTGATGCAGGCCAAATCCAATCCTAGCCCCACCCCCCACTCATCCTCAACCTCAGTCCCATCCCCACTGCCATTCCCGCCTCCACCCTGCCCAGACCCATCCCTGGTACCAGCCTCATCCCCACAGGACGGCATCCAGATCCCATCCCAATCCCCACCCTCAAATAGCCCCAGAACCTGATTATTAGGGGTGGGGCAAGAGAAGCTTTGTCTAATGTGTTAATTGAGGGAGCCACTAACGTAGAAAAAGCAAGATCAATAGTGTTTCAGTATAGTATTTTTAAATTCAAAATTAATGCAACATGTCCATGATACAGAACATATCAGAAATTGAAGGGAAGGCAGCATTTGAGGTGCACCTCACCCTCGCCCCATACCTGCAGGGTCCTATTTATTTCAAATGTGGATATTTTGTTCATCATGGATGTCTGCATTGTATTAATTTGTTTAAAATAAGACAAAAACATATCTCTCCTGATGAGTCAGCTTTTGCCTCGTCTCTCCATATACCCTATCCTGCAGCCACGTGCATATCTCGGTCCCCATCCACCTGGCTCTGTCCTCACCTGTCCCCTCGCCTTGCCCCAGGTCCCTTACACCCAGTGACAAGAGGTCCCTTGTCCACACCACCTGGCTCCTAGAAGCTGAACTGAGATCCAAGCCCACCCCTCTAAGGCCATCTCCTCCTCTCCACTTTCATATTTGGGTCAACCCCAGGGTCCTGCATGGTTTCTCTTCCCACATGCGGGATCCAACAGACCCAGCAAGAGATGTGAATGTTCCTCTAGCCTTGGGAAGAGGATCTTCCAGCCAGGCCTCCCCTTTGACTATAGCTCCAGCCTTGCTCCAGGCCTAGTGTTTTAAAGTCCCAGCCCTGGCCAAGTCCAGCCTCTGGGGCTGAGGCTCACTCCCCGGCCCTGCCCCTCTGCATTGCTTGAACCGCACCCTGGGCCAAGACTCCACCCTCTCCGCTCAAACCCAGCCTGGCCGACCCCTCTGTGCAGTGCAAGGTTGGCCCTCAGTTCCGCCCACAGTGCCCCACCCAAGAGAAGCCCCACCCGGTCCAGCCCCTTGAGCATTGCCCCCTGCAGCCCCATCCCCACCCCCACCCCGCACTCGCTCACCTCCTCCAGCAGTGTGCAGCTGACAGAACCCACTGTGGGTGCACCAGAACTCCAGAGCAGTACCCATCCTTGTTGAAGAATAGTGCAGCCTGCCAGGGCTGTGAGTGTGGAGTGCAACCAAAGCCAGCAGAGATGAGTTCGCTGACTGGGGGGAGAACATCTGGGATGTGGCCGCCTGCTCCTTCAGGTGGAATCACAGCTCCTGGGGGCAGGATGAGCACACAGTGGATCCGGTGGGTGGGTGGGTAGGATCTTGTGGTGGATCTGGTAGGGCTTGGTGGGTCATGGTTAGGAAGGCCCAGGTTAAATCAGGAGGGCCAAGCAGAGGCAAGATCTGAGGCTCCGCCTCTGGGGCTCAAGCAGGACAGTCCCAAGGCCAGAACCCTCCTCGGAGCCTGAGGCTTCACACTGTGCTCCACCACCCCGGTGGCATAGACCCAGCATCACCACACAGGTGCCCTTCCCCAGGAGGGGCCTCTGTGCCAAGCACAAGACAGAGGCCACCGCCCCTCGGAATCTGTCTGTTAGACACACAGAGTGGACATCTGGACACAGAGAACAGTCCCTCAGGGAACACTTCTTACCCTGGACCCCAGGCCTCTGAACGGCCGCCTTGTACAGGGGCTCAGGAGCAGTGACCTCCACAGGGAAGGGAGCAGCTGCCACACTTCTCTGCCAGCTGGGGCAGGAGACCCATGCACAGTGCTGTCCCTCTGCTAATTACAGCTAACATCTGCACACTCACCTATGGGCCAGAGTCTGGGCAGGACCTGCATTTACACTGTATTTTCTAACCTGCTTTCAGATTGCCCTTGGAGGTAGGGAAACAACACAGAGACATTACAGGCTTTGGCCAGGTAAGAAGTAGCAGAGCTGGGCTCTGAATCCAGTTGCTGTCTGTCCTCCACAAGCTGTGTTTCTACCCTGGTGCCATGCAGACCCCCAGGGGGCCTATGGGTGGGGCAGGATGACCCATTTTGGGTGCACACAGGCTAGCACACACCCCAAACTCAGATACCTGCAGCCATGTGGATGATGCATCCCAGGAAACAGAGCCAGAGGGCTTCCACTGTGGTCCCCATGTCAGCACCTGCTGGGGAGGAAACCCAGTGACTGTGGAGCCTCCCTCATCATTCTAGGAGCAGCTAGAAAGGACCCTGTCCAGCCTAGACTCTGAGACCTTGCCCAAGGAACTGTAACATAGGTCAGAGCTTCTCACCCTCCGCCTTGCTGATATTTATCCATGCTCTGCTGGGGATGGACTCAGGACACCACCAGCCTCCCAATGCCACCGAGCCATCCCCCTGCCCAACGATGGCTGATGGCTGGTGAGCCTTCATGCTGGGCCCGCCTTGTGCACTCCAGAGTGTTTTACACCCTGTGCCAGCTCCTGTCCCTCATCCCCAGTAGGGACAACCAAAAGGCCCATTCACCATCCAGGTCCTGGGAGAAGACAGTGTGAGCTCTGCCTGTGAGGACAGAGGAGGCAGGGAGACCGAGGAACGAGTGACAGTTAGGGACAGGGACAGAGATGCTAAGACTGAGGCTGAACCCTGGAGCAGGGAGGATGGGGCCCAGAGACAGAAGTTTCAGGGTCACCAAGCTGAAGGAGACTGAGATGGAAATCAAGGTGCTCTCAGCGCAGTTTCAGGCACAGCCCTGTGCCAGGCATTGCACGAACATGAGACCCGCCATGACTCACCTTCACAGCCATCTCAGGTGCCAGTACCTGTTATTATTCCCATTCCAAGGAAGGTGCAAACACAGACAGGCTGAGTAACAAGTGGGGAGTGATAGGTTTTTCCCTTATTATAATTCCTTTAGGGTCGCTGTGGCGCCACCTACTGGAGACTATATGCCATGGCCAATATGGCACTGGCCCCTAGAGGCCATGTGCTAAGCCCCAACCTTCTGCCCCAGAGTTAAATTACGACTTCCCACTCCCCTTTTTGTAATATCCTGTTTCATTTTCCCATGCTCCCACCCAGCTAGCCTGCCAAGTCAGCTGGCCCACCCCTCTAAACCCCGCCTCCAGCCTGATCATATTTAACCATTGTTCTCTGGCCAGGTCCCTCAGAAGATCCACTATCCCAGTACCCCTCTCCTCTGTGGTCTTCTCCGTTCCCACAATAAAGGCATTTTATTGTTTTATTACTTTCTGTGCCACCGGCCGACACCTATCAGAGAGGCCATTAGAGTCTGTGCTCTTAAAACCTCACTGGAAAGGGGCACAGTGGCACCACCTGTAATCGCAGTGCTCTGGCGGCAGGAGGATCTCAAAACCCTAGCTGTACACTGAGTCAAAGCCATGCTGTAAGGCAGAGAGGGAGACACACACCCAGCAGGACAGAGACAAGAAAGAGGCAGGAACTCAAGGATGGGAAACACTGAGCAAGGCTTGGGCTGAGAGAAGACAGGCAGGTTCGTTCACCTGGCTTCAGCTCCTGGGCTCTCAGGATATGGCTTCCCGTGCAGGTCTGGACTCTGTGGCTGCTGCCTCTCAGAGCTTTCAAGGGGTTTATGAGGGTCAGGAATGGGGGCTGGCCTGCCCTGGGGCTGCTGAAACATTATTGCCTGAAGGTAGCATTTCTCTTGATGCACTCCCTGCAGCTGTCCTGGTTCTAATCAGATCAAAAAGCATGGATCAGGGGTCTGGAGAGGACACCCCTGAAACAAGTGACCACCCTGGCTGGTCTCTCAGCCTCTCTGGGAGCTATCTCTCAGCTCTGTTTCCTCTATTCTAGTGCTCTTTGCTACACTTGGCCTTCTCTCATCAACTTTCTGCCTTGGATTCTTTGCCTTTAAACTCTTTCCCCTACATTAAATCTACATTAAATTAAGCAAATATATATGGAGTCAAGATAATCTGTCACTGTGTGTGTGGCACTAGGGGTAGTATCCAGGGCTTCTCACTGAGCCATCCCCAAACATCTTTTCATTTTTATTTGGAATCAGAGTCTCATTACATTGCCATGTTGCCCATACTGGGCTCAAACTTGAGATCCTCCCACCTCAGTCTCCCAGAGAGCTGGAATTAAAGGCATGCCCACACACAGTGTATTTTTCTCTCCTAGGGATCCACCAGGCCTGGTGTGCTCCCCTCAACTCTGGATTCCAGCCACAGAGATCTCTAAGCTACCAGATCTCTAATTCATGAACCTCCCAGGCAGGTTTGCACCTGCCTTAGGCCGTGAGCTAGCTGTTCCTTTTTCCTGTTGTCTACCTTGGTCACTTTATTTTTCCTTTAAAAAAATTAAGATGTGTTATGGTTTGAGTCTGAATGTCCTCCGCCACAAAGCCTCATGTGGTCATGGTTGGGGGGCTTTTCTGAGGCGACTGAATCTAGAACAGTAGTTGATTCATTGTCTCGTGCTGGGATTAGGGGTGTGAGTACTACACAGGTCTTAGGGCGGGTAGCCTGCATACAATATAAGGGACAGAAAAGAGGCTCACTCCCCCTTTTGCTCTTGTTGCTTTTGTATCTTCCACCACCATGAACTATTGCCCCTTTGCCATGCCACCCTGCCTTGCAACCAGCTCATTATGGACTGAAACCTCCACACACTGTGAGCAAAACAATCCTTTCCCTCTTTATCTTTGGGTGTCAGGTATTTTCTCCCAGCAATGAGAGAAAAGTAACTAAGACAAAGTGTGACTTTCATACAGTAAAATCCGCTCTTTAAGGTTATAGCTCTGAAAATTCTGACATATGTAGCACGTATAACATACACACAGCCATTAAGATATGGAACTTTCCATCACCTGCCCAAACTATCCTGTGACCCCCTTGAATAACTTGGTCCTGTTTTCTGCCCCCATTGCTAGTATTTTTGAGAATCATGGAAACGGAGTCTTACTGTGCACAGTTTCAGCAATGTGCCCTTGAGACTCTCCCTGTGTGTGTACCATGCCTCATCCCCTTTCCACATGAAGAGGACTTCACAATGTGGACAGACCTGTTTATGTATCCACTGCCTGGTTTTTCCATCACTGGACCCCCTTTGCACAGTCCTCTTACGCTAGGGCTCCTTGCTAACTTACAGTGTATGATTTGTATTAATATGCAGTACTCTGATAACACATAGTGGTGCATATCAGGTTTATCACAGAATTTGTCTGTTTCATTAGATCTGTTTTCTTTTGTCCATATCTCTCAGCTACAAAGAAGACAAGAGACTTTGCCAGTACTGTTCACCGGTTGATCCCTAATTCCTAGAACCACACTGGGCTCCCAGTGCGTGCTTGATGAGCAATTTTTGAATGAATAAAATTGAATGAATGGTCTCTGACTCTGGCTCACTGTGTCTTTCATTCTATAGGGACATTGTCTGCCTGGTCGGTTCTCTCTGATCTCCCTGATCTCTCTGTCTCTCTCTCTCTCACACTTTTTCCCTCTCTTCCCTGTTCTTCTGTCTCCTCTCTCTTTCCCTGACTGTCCCGACCCTTCCTAGGTCTCTCATGTACCTCTGTGTGTCTCTGGTGTGTGATCGGGGTTGTGTTTGGAATCAGGGGCCTGGAGTGTGTAATGTAGAACAGGAGCGTACAGTCTAGGGCTTGGACCTGAAGCCTGGGGTCTGCCTCCTCTCTCGGGCTTGTGCTCTGGACTCTAGAGTCTGCAGTCTGGCTCTGGACCTGGGGTTGGAGGCCAGCATGTGAATCTAGACCATGGGTCAGCAAACTTACTGCAAATGTCCACAGGCAGTTACGATGGGTTTGCGGGCCAGACACTGTCTGCCACACTTACTCATTTGTGCTGCCTCTGCATGACGACAGCCAGACAAGAGCATGTGACCACACTGCATCCAAGCACGATTTACAGAGAGCAGCTGGGTCAGGCCTGCGAGTGTCATTGGCTTTTCTGATCCAACCGCAACTGTGGAGTCCAGGACCATGGAGTCCAGGAATGGAAAGCCGAATGCGGTCTGCAGCAGCTGGAGCTTGGGGCTCCTGGGCCTCATCTCAGGAAATATGCAGCTCCAAGTCTGCAGTCAGAAGGTGACAGCTGAGGTCTGGAGGTTGGAAATCGATCCTTTGTGGTGGACACCAGGGATTTGACACCACCGTGGTAGCGAGCATCTCTCTGTGAGACATTGTCTGGACAGTTGTGAGAAGTCACTGGAACCGCCACTGTCGGATGTGGTGTGTCCCCAGCAATCCTGTACTGGGAGCGTGGTCCCAGTGTGGTGATGTTAGGAGCTGGTGGGACCTTTAAAAGTAAAGCCCAGTGCAAGGCCACTGGGAAGCTTCCCTGGGGGATTAAAGTAGTTGTCAGGGAACTCAGTACAGACTCAGTATAGATACACTGCAGCTGTGGATGGAAGCATAGTTGTTACAGGCTAGGCCTGAAGGCAATGCATAGGATGACTGAGTCTGCATATCTCCCTAAGGTATGAATAGTAGTGATTGATATCCAAACGTTGTTCTTATAAAAACAAAAATGGCGAATTGTGGGGGATCAGTTAAGGAGAATTGAGTCTTAACCAGCCTCCTCTGTGAGCACAAAGGTGAAAGGCAACACACAGGCTTGATGGCACATTGCAGGTTCTAGGGAAAAGCCAAGAATCTCAGCACAGCTGAGATTAAGTTGCTTATCTGAGCAAGCACGAATGGATATTGGAATGCAGGTGATTCTTGTGTTACTATAATTGCTTGTACCCATGTCTGAGTGAAGAAGGAAGGATGAGTCAGACACTAGGGGCTCTCTGCCCACTAGAGGGAAGAGCCCGCTGGCTGTCTGAATTCTAAACAGACTCTGTGTCTCTGTGTCTTTCCTCCTGGTTTGCTCCCAGGTCAGGGTGACAAATAGAGAGGAACAACTGGAGCAGGTTGGTCCCCCACAATGGGCACCTGTAGGCAGGGGCCTGACTGGCACCTTCGGCTGGCTTCATACAGTTAGTGGCTAAATTTTTTTACTGATCATTAAATAGTTTAAAAATACTGAAAAACAAAAAATGAGGTCTACTTACAATCATCTTTAAATATTTTATTTAGGATCCAAATATCCTTGACTGTAATTTTATGTATTTGGTTAATTTTGAAACTATAGTATGTTGCGGACTTGACCTAGCCCCCAAGCTCCTAAAAGGAGTTACAGTGAAGGCCTAAATAAAAGAGACAGGGAATCCAGGAAGGTCAGAACTCTCCAGGAGCTAAGACATCCAATATTTATTCAGTTTCAGACAAGTTCAGGGGGTGGGGTGCAGGGAGTGGAGAGAACATCTGAAGCAAAAGTCCTGGAAAATGAGCAGGGCCTTGAGAAATGAAGGCAGTCAATTCTGCCAATTAAGAGAACTGTTTGATCTCTAAAGTCAGCAGATTTATTGCCCTGGAATCCTTTGAGTGAGATTCAGCAGCCCAAAGCTGCAGCATTACCTTGTCTTCAGAGACTGTGGTGAACAACTTCACCCTTCCAAGTCTGGTCCCCAATAATTCCTCCTTTGTTCTTGTAATGGCAGCAGTTGTAACACTGTGACTCGAGGTTGGATAGGTCTAGGCATTGTCAGGTTTGGTGGCCCCTGTAGCAGACTAGGAGCAGAAATAACAGACACAAGCATATTAATATAATCAGTCCAGTGTAGAATCCAAAATGGGTCTGCTGGCAGCGGACTCTACCCCAGATAGGGAGATCTCCTCTCTCCCTGGCCACATGTTCCCAGATGGCATCGGCAATGGTGTTTCATGACCTGTCAGTACACAAGTATACCCTTGTCCCCATGTTATTAACTGCACCAGGCCATCCTACTTTCCTGTTTGAGTGTCCATTCATAGGACTGGAGCCCTACTTCTGCTTGTTGATTTGTCCCATTGCCAATGATGTTCTCATGGAGTGTATTTTTTGCAAGTGGATTTTAAAAATTTTTAAAGTACATAGCAAGGTGTAGTTATGCCTGTGGGGGCAACTGTACTCTTTTTGTTGATTTTATTGAATTTTAGAAACAGATGTATCCTTCTTCTTAAAACCTGGGCTTTAGTGAATGTGACTTTGGCCAAAATTGTCTTTTATGATGAGGGCCCAGCCCTGTCTGATTATCTGTAACATTTATAACCAACTTAGCTGTGTACAATCTTTCTCCCTCTGAAGATAACCCCAACTGTGGTTACAGGAACTAGGTATAGTTTCCATCTTAACTGCTTTGAACTGAAAAGGATTATGTAGAGGAGACCTCAGTCAGGAGCCTTCTCCAGAGAGCTAATCTAATGGGCCTTGTAGTTTAACAGCTAGGAACCCTTTAGAGGTCAATCTGGTAGATCCTGGTAGAAGAAATATAGCACATTTATCATTGGTTTCATCTGTATAATCACTTGCAGTTTGGCAGCTTCAGGCAAGAAAGAACCAAATTTTTGAGAAATGAGAGTATGTATAATCAAAGCATGAGCAATAGAATGGATAGGTATGCTTGGGAAAGAGCCAAGTTTAGAAACCACTTTTATGGGACTGGAATAGTGATTGTAACCCACTGGCTGTTAGACCTCTCTACTGATGGAGTCTGATATTTTGTTATAAGTCTCTCTAGTTTTTGGTGATTTTAGCTAATGAATTTAAGGTTTTTTGTTGAGCTTCCCAGATTTGATTATAATTTATTCTTCATTGTTGAGGGCCAGCTTGACATGTTACAAGCAGGTAATAATTAATATTAATAAGCTGGAATAAAAATAAATTGAGAATCTGTCCTAGGCCTACATGACTTGTGGCAAGGCCCCTGGCTTACTTAGGAACAGACTAATCTTTCCAATGGCCAGAACCAAGGATAGCAAACAGCCTTTGAAGTTCTGGTTCCTCAAAGCAAGATAACATGACAGCTGAGGACTTTAACTTGTGTAATTCTGTCTAGCTCAGTAATTGTGGTTAGCAGACAATCAGGTTATCAGTTAATTCCTGTGTGATTTTTTAAAAATACATTGTTCCTCAATTCTTGAACCTTGACCTCATCAGCAGTTTACCCCTACTGCTTCCTAGACCCAACCAGATCACCCCCCCAATCACACTGTGCAGCTAATAAAGGAACACCATGCCTCATGGTCTTTGCCTGTCATTAGGCTTTGACCATCCTGGTGTCCTTGCTACTAAAATATTTATTTTGTCTGTGTTTTATTCTGTCACCATACCTCTGAGCAGATCGGTGGTCCTATGCCTGGGCCCCAGTACTTCAAGACCCATGACAGTAGCCAGCTACTGGTGTAGTTGGAAACCACCAGAAGGTATCAGCAACTGGAGTTCGTTTTTTATATCTAGTTTATTATTATGGCATTGTTTTATACATCTTTTGGTTATACTTTTCTGCTGGAAGTTCAAGACCAAGTTTAAGTGAGACATGTTACTTAAAATTAACTCGCTGTCTATTGAGCTCAGTTACATCACTTCAAGCATTATTTTACATTCATATATAGTGCCTCTCAGCTCCTCTGTCAGTATCAGCCATCCAGATAGGTCACCACGAGGCAGGGCTCCTGGGACCGAGTGCGGGCTGGACGCATACCACCACGATTCCCAGCTG